TTCACTGGTTGCCTATAATCTAGCTGCATCTATAAATAATATATAAAAATCATGTAATTTATTATTTAAAAGTTTGTTAAAATAACTACTTTTTTAATAACCGCTTTTTTACAGTGTCAAAGATAGTTAAAAAAAATCATAATAATACTCCTTAATTTTTTTTTAAATCTTTTTTCTATATTTTAATCTTAGTATTAGTTTTTCAGGAATGACATTTATAAATACCAAAATAACTTAATGCTTTAAAATTAACAAATCTGTATTTCTTTTAAAATAATAATTTTAAACAAGATAAAAATGCACATGCATTTGAAAATTTTTGAAGAGTTTCGTGTAAAATTGTATAAATTAACATTGCTCTCCTAAACATGATACCAATTTTAAAAATCTAGTTTTTCCGATATCATACATGCAAAATAATATATATATATATATATATATATATATATATATATATATATATATATATATATATATATATATATATATATATATATATATATATATATATATATATATATATATATATATATAGTACATACATCAGAGTAGTGCATCTCCATGGATAAAGTTAGTGATTATCTCCAAAACCCTTTTATCTCACACGGTCAACTCTATGTTACATGTTAAAGAACAAGATTGTTTAATACCTTATTTTAGAGAAGTAACAAGCCTACTTGGATTTTTACAGTTGTAAAAATGTTGTAACATATTTGTACATCAATTTTTTTATAATAGAAACATTTTCTTGTGTATGTTGCACAATTTAATATTGTTTTGTACAACAAAAGTTAAGTTGTAAAACGGTTAAGTTGTAAAACGGTTGTGGAAATAGAATCAACAATTCAACAAGAATTGTTGTACAACAAAAGCGCCCAACTGTTGTACAATATTTCTGGAACTATGGATAAAATTTTAAATTTTTTTATTTAATCTTTTCAATCTTACTGTATAAATTTATAGCAAAAAAAGTATATAGCAAAAAATATATATATTTCAAAAAAGGCTTTTTATTGTTAAAATAAAATTTTAAAGTTTTTTCTTATTATACATATATTATACACGATCATACCGTCCACAAACTTAACTTAATGCTAAAGACATTTACACTTACAGGCATTTGTACATAACCCTAAACAAATGGGGAATTATGATGATGCAATTTTACCATTCAGAAATTATCAAAAGTGGGAAGAGTCATGGCAAATCTAAAATATAAGTTACAAATTTTCCACTGATATGAGACAATATGTTTTGTGTTTTTTCAATCTTGTCAATTTTTTTTTAATACATAAACTTCAATACAAATGTTCACAATAAAACAGTTTAAAAAAGGTTAGAAAAGTTCTTTTATATTACACGAGATCCTGTACAAAATGTTATGAAAGTGAATTTGCATATAGCATATTTATTTTTATATATTGTTTACATATAAGTGGAACTTTATTGCTATGCAATAAAGTTGTGTCTATTTATAGAATCCATTTGAAAACTGTTGATTAATTGTAATCAGTATAAAAGATTTAAAAAATTGTTTGTTTTTCTAAAATATATAAACTTCGATAGCTTATTGGTTTATATTGTTGTCATCTGTGTTGTTTAGTAAGGGTCCCTTAACACAATACGTTTTCAATTTTTTTAATCTGACCATATATATTTACAGCAAAAAAATAAATATAGCAAAAAGTACCATTTCAGCCACTAAGGTGTAAAACTGTAAAACTTGATATTAACATTACATAATTTGAAGTTTATGTTATGAAGATATTTGCATAGTATAGGTTTTTTTTTTTTTTTATTTTAATTCACCTCCTCAAGGCCGAGAAGGCCACTACAGACGAGGAGGCTACTTATTCGTGGCTATAACCCTCTCTCAACTCTATAACTCCGAAACACGAACCTTGACGAACAAGGCCGCTGCGCGGAGAAACGAGTTGAGCGCGGTACTACCAGGGACGTGGTGGGGATCGAACTCGGAACCACTCGTTTATGAAGCGAGCGCTCTACCACTACACCACTACCGCATGGTCAAGGTTATGAAGATATTTGCATACACTTTGGTTCACTTTGGTCTTATTAAAAAAATGCTGCAACTCTTCTCACCATAATTGCTATTATTACTATTGTTGTTGTTATTTTTTTTACTATCATTGTTGTCATTATTATTAATATTTTTTTTATTATTATAATTTTGCCGAGTTAAGACAGAAGGAAGCAAGTCCCTGAAATGTGATTTTATAAAAAACAAAAAAAAAAATTTTTCATAACAACTTCATATGTTTGTATATATCGTGCTAATTTGTCTATATTATTGTATAAGACTTGCATTTTAGATTTGAACTTTATGTAAATAATATATTTCAAATAATATATAACTAGCTGTCATAAAACCATGGTTCTTTGTAAGCCAGTTCAACACTAACCATTTCTATACTTATTCATTACCTCAATATTTTAGTAAGCTGTAGAAAAAATAATTATCTTGAAAAAAAAATTATTATTTTAGAAACACTTGTTTGCTCATTCTGTACACTGTTTTGTTCTGGGAAATTCCAATCATGATGGTTCCTAATTTCAAAATTTTAATGCTTTTTTGTGATCGTGCATGCTGCTAGATAGCTTTCAATAATCATCTGCATTGAACATTTGGTCAATAAAATAATGTTCCACTCATCTATAATTGATGAATCTATAAATGTCAAATAGTAAGTCTCTCTGGTAGAAGAATAATTGCCAAAAGAGCTAGTATTGCTTGGGAATTCCATCTAACATTATTTAATTTAGGTATTTTTTGAAACTTCACTTTAGGAAATACTCCAGATACTTCTTCCAATACCTGAGTTAAAAGAAGTAGAAATTTCATATCATAACATGATCCTTCTGTTCCAGTAATCACCTCTTTACCATTCTTCAGGGTTACTTCATTCATTACTATGCAAAGGACTTCAGTCAAGAACATAATGTTGACAATCAATGATGAAAGATCCACAATGAATTGTGGTTCTTCTAGTTTATTTTTAGTAAAACGTCTTTTTAACTGACTGACATTGCTGTTTTTTCCAGTGTTTACATTCATAGTGTCAGCTACAACCATCTTTATTATCTTCCATAAAGTGTATTCATTAAAAAACCTTTTACAATAGTATCTGATTTTCTGTCTGATAAATCTAATGCTATTTTTGGTGACTAATAAGTTTACCATAAAAGGAAGTGACTTTCTAAGTTTAGTGTTTTGGTAATTTCTTTTATTTCATTTTTCTTCTTTTGGATGAATAGATAGTTTTAAAACTAGCAGCCATTGCTTACAATCTGAAGATGATACAATCTCTTTGTCTTCATTACAGAGCCATTCATCATCTTTTTTTGTGATGTCAAAAACTTAATTCAATGGATCATATTTTCTTTGTTTTACACATTTATTGTATGTTTTTAGCACTTGATCCAGTTTTGGCTGTACAACTTGAATTAATAAATGTGGAAAATTGAATTTCTTTCGTTATAAACTCTTTACTTCTTTCTCAATTTTCTTTATGTGATTTTGTCTCCCTTTAATAGATTCTCCCTGGAACAATTTGTGACCAAAAATTTGGATTTTGAGAGGTATTTTGCTGTTATCTTCCAGTGATTATTCTTCTAGTGGAACAGTTTTTTTTTTCTTATGTGACTCATAAATTCATATGAGATTCTTTATTGTTTCTTTATTTATCTTTCATATGAGATTCTTTATTGTTTTTTATTTTTACAAGATTCTTTATCCAGATAGTCTTGTTTCTTTCAGTAGTGTAAGCATTTTTGTTGAAGGATATAATGATTAAAAATACTAAATAAACATATTTCTTAAAGGCCATATTTCTTAAAAAATAATAAATATAAGTGCTATTGTACTTCTATATTATTGAGTACAGATCTTTTATATATTACTATTATTGTTGCTCAATCATGAAGCTTATATAGTCAAAATCTTGTTAAGTTTCAGAGGTTTTTAAAAACATCCAGAACAGTCCAGAAATTTCTAGAAAATTCCATAAGGTATATGCTACTGTTTGCAAATACCATTTTAAAAATTTCGTATTGTCAGTGACATTTTGAAAGTTAATCAAAATAAAACCCATTTTCATTACTTTTGAGCACAAGTTCATTGAGTTTTGACACAGGAAGTAAATTATTTTACAAAAAGTTGAAATATATATACATATATATATATATATATATATATATATATATATATATATATATATATATATATATATATATATATATATATATATATATATATATATATATATATATATATATATATATATATATGTATATATATATAATCTATACATTTTCTTTTAAAAGATAAAAAAAAAAAATTTATTATTAGCTTAAGGTAAAATTATGAACTTCTGTATACTAAAACTGAGACAAGCTTATTTTTTTTTCTATTGAGTTTTTATTAATCTTTTTTTCATGCCATCTACAGTTTGCCTTGCTAATTAATTTTAAAGATAATTTTGAATGTCATATCTTTTTTCTTTAATCTTTTTTCTTTTTTGTTTAATGCATAGACTTAACTAATTACCTAAGCACATTATTAGCCCTGATTTTTGATGTTTTTAGAAATTTTAAGCTTTTTTAAAATTTCTTTCCTTTTTGTTATGTTATAGTACATATCTTTATATATGTTATTGTTGCAATGCAACAATATTTCCTTAATTATGATTTTCATTTATCCTTAGTTGTGATTTGTAGCATTTATCCTTAGTTTTCAACTAAAAGTATAACTGTCAAACTTTTATTTTTAACATAATTTAAATTTTAAATAAGTTAGATATTTGCGTACATAATAATAATGATAATTAAAATATCTCTATTTTTAGGCTAATATTATATTTGCTTTCTTTTTTCCTTGGTATGGCAGCATTGTTATTGTTATTAATAATTTAATTATTATTTTAGTATAATTTAGTTTTTATTATTATTACTAATGATATTACTCTTCTTGATACTACTAGAATCTATGTTTATACCAAAGTTGAAGTTGTAGAAACTATTGAAGATATGATGAATCGCTACAAGATTGCTTTAAATGATGAGCAAGCTAAGAAAAAAATTCTTCAGAAGCAGCTTGATGATTACATTAAACTTAAAAAAAGATTGTATAAAAAAATCTATAAAGCTGGTTTAGCTACAAAAAAGTTAGAAGAGATATCTATTAAAAGGAGCTATCTTAATAGTGTTACTTATATTGAAAGGTTAATTGAGTCAGAATGGAAAAGTAACAGACCTAACAAACTTGACAGGTATTTTTAGCATTTGAAAAGAATAAGTTCAGAATTAGATTTTAACTTTATAAAAAAAAAACTAAAGATAAAAACATTGTAACATTTACATTTTAATCTTTATGGATTTGGTTATTTAACTTAATTTGATAACAAAAAAACATAAGGCTGCAATAAAAGCTATTTATAAAATATAATTTATTTTTATATAGGTAATCTGTTCTTTTGTAGTTGAATAATAACTTGTTTATTGTCTGAGACCCATAGCAACCTAAGCAACAGTAAATACAGAGTTTTCAAAATTATGCTTTTCCACTATATGCTAAGCAAATTTTATGCAAAATAAAACAAACATAAATAACCATATTAACACTAACAAATCACCAATACAATTTTATTACCACTAATTAACCAGTAAACCAACTTTCATATACCGCTATAATTAACCAACTTAATATACCATAATATACTAATTAACATAATTAATAATTAACATAACTTAACATAACTAATTAACATAATAATTAACATAACTTAACATAACTAATTAACATAACTTAATATACAAATTATACCACACAAGCACTAACACTTATAATTTTATAAGCACTAATAGAACAAAATTAAAATAAAATTTAAAATCAAGTATATATTTTAATACTAGAAACCACATATATATATATATATATATATATATATATATATATATATATATATATATATATATATATATATATATATATATATATATATATATATATATATATATATATTTTTTATTTTACTTCACCTCCTCAAGGCCGAGAAGGCCACTACAGACGAGGAGGCTACTTATTTTGTGGCTATAACCCTCTCTCAACTCTATAACTCCGAAACACGAACCTTGACGAACAAGGCCGCTGCGCAGAGAAACGAGTTGAGCGCGGTACTACCAGGGACGTGGTGGGGATCGAACTCGGAACCACTCGTTTATGAAGCGAGCGCTCTACCACTACACCACTACCGCATATATATATATGTAAGCGAGCGCTCTACCACTACACCACTACCGCATATATATATATATATATATATATATATATAAATTTCTGATGAGTCTTTATTGATGAAACACAGTGTTAAATGAGAAAAAATTTTGCTAAGTGATTTTCTACTAATTTGTAATAGTTCTGTTCTTTTAAGAACATTGAGCACTCTTTTTGTAGAATTTATTTTAAATTGTTTAAATATATATATATATATATATATATATATATATATATATATATATATATATATATATATATATATATATATATATATATATATATATATATATATATATAGACACACACACACACACACACACACACTCACACACACACACACACACACTCACACACGCACACACACACACACACACACACACACATATATATATGTGTGTGTGTGTATTGCTCTTCAAAGTTTTTGAAAATAGGGATAACAGATGCTGCTATCCAGCAGGGTATAAAACAAAACTCTGATAAATACTTTTTAAATAATTTTAAAAGCTTATGATAACACTTCTGCAAGGCTATAACAGTTATTTTGTCCTAAGCAGGAAATCACTTAAGATACAGACGCTGGAATGATAAAAATGTCTTGATGAAACACAGTGTTAAATGAGAAAAAATTTTGCTAAGTGATTTCCATAGTGCTCCATGGCTGGAAGTTATCTATCTCAAACACTTAAATATCCTGGATCTGTCACTGATACTTGGGAGATTTTTGAGATTGACAAAATTTTGTGATCTGAGAATAGCAGGCTTCAGCGTTAGATAAAACATTTTTACAATGTTTTCTAGCAATAGTGAACAGACATCGATTTTCTGGAGAATCGTTTTGCAGATAGATATGAAAGTAATAGTGATAATTAAATAAAAGATTCCATACTAACCTAAATCTAAGAAGCTGCATAAGAAACATTTGTCAGCAGGAAGGCAAAAGATTTCTACACTAGGGCATCACAAAGAAAATCACGAAAAGTCAGAGAGAGTCACAAAAGTTCTGCTTCCAGTCAGCTAAGGTAGTTGTAAGAGTGAAGGAGAGTGATATAGAACAAAGGGAAAGGTGATAGAGTAAAGTAATGCTAAACAAAAGCACATAAAAGTATAGTGTGTAGGTTCAAAATTTTTTTTTTTTGTCGATTCTTCTTCTCAAGGCTGAGAACACTACAGACAAGGAGGCTACTTAATTATGGTTATAACCCTCTCTCAACTCTATAACTCTGAAACACGAACCTTGAAAAACAACGCTGCTGTGTGGAAAAATAAATTGAGTGTGGTACTACCAGGGAAGTGGTGAGAATTGAACTCGAAACCTCTTGCTTAGAAGCAAGCGCTCTACCACTGCACCACTACCACGTCAAATCTAGTTTCCTAACAAATGGGTGACTTCTTATGAATTTAATTGGTCAGGTCAATCATTTGACAAACATCAATACTGAGAACACAAGATGAGACTGCTGAACTCAAATTAGTCTTGCAAAGAACAAGTATGTCTGGTGAACTTTGCAAGAGTTAAGACTCAACAGAAGAAATTTTTTTTTTAAATCTTGATTCACTCATAAAAAGGCTGCAAGCAACCACTATTAAGTTCTGAGTTGCTAGAAAAAAATAATAGAGTTATAAAGCAAGGAAATGGTTGACAGAAGACTTAAAAAGTTGAAGGTTGTATGAGTCAGGAAAACATGAAGATGGGAGAGAGTTTTAATGGTTTGAGGTGTAGAAAAAAAAACTAGACGAGTAAAAGTTTTTAGAGCATCTAGGGGTTCAGTAAAAGAATGAAACTTCGCTGAATGACGAGTCAAGCAAAAATGAGTTTTAGCTAATGGAACTAGTGATAATAGTTCTTTTAAGCAGCAACCATGATAGTATTTGTAGAAAAAAAAAGAGATGCAACTTTCCAATGATGGAAAAGAGGCTCAAGCTTAAGATTAAGCGGGTCCAACTACGTTTACAATGCGTATTTGGGCCTTGTCTAGAAGAAAAACCATCATTAGTAAGCCAGCCCAAATATGACAACAGTATTCCACACAGGGGCAAATAAGAGATTTGTAGATGTAGAGAATTGAATCAGGACAGAGAAATTTGAGAGCACAATATAGAAAAGCAACCATAACAGATGCTAATTTAGCATTCGATTGTATATATGGTTTCCATGAAAAGTCAGTAGTAAATAATAACCCAAGATGTAAAGAAGAGGACTCAGTAAAAGGGTTGCCATTCATTAATACATGAATGTCAACAGTACTGTGATAGTTGTTTGCAGTAAATAACTGAGTTTTGTTGAATTTAAAGTTTACAGAATTCTGTGAGCCCCAATCTGTTACAGAAGTGAGATCAGATTGGCTGCCTGTTATAAGCGATTGAAAAGAAAAGACTTTTTGAAAGATCATTAATGTAGATAAGAAACAAAACAGGACCTTGAGGTACTCCAGAAGTTATTGGAAATAAAGAAAAGTGTTCAAGCCTTTAAGGATGCCTTTAATAAAGTTTGAAAGAAACAATTTGATAATTTTAAATACTTTCTCAGATACACCATATAAAACAATCTTATAAAGAAGACCAGCATGCTAAACTATGTTGAAAGCTTATATTGCAAGCAATAGCCCTAGCCTTTCTGCCTCCATCTAATGCACAATAATCATTCAGTCACAGCAATTAGCAAGTCAGCGGTAGAGCAAGAGGATCTAAAACCATATTATCTGACAGTAAGTTATCTGACTCAAGATACAAGAAGTTTATTTATCAAAGACTCAAAGACCTTGCTAATAACAGAAAGAAGACTGATCGGACGATAATATGAGGGGTCAGAATGTTCACTGGATTTTTTAAAAATTGGAACAACAGATGCTATTTTCCAGCAGGCAGGCAGGAAAACAATATTCAGTCAAGCATTTATTAAATAGTTTAGAGAAAATTGATTAGTAATTGCGTAGTAAAAGTTACTTCAAAGACCACAAATATTAGTGAATGATAGGTTTAGAGAACTTGGAGATAATTATTTTTTCTGTTTTATAGTTTTTGGTATTTTAGTAATTTTTAGATTTGTTAACAGTCTTGACTCAAAGGACATATAGTACTCAATACATTATCTAATAGTCCAAGTAATTGCCTTATTACTATTAAAAACCTTTAAGTCTAAACAAAGGGCTCCAAACATAGTCTTAACAGTGCACACCAAAATTATGAACAGGAACACCATTCATGCGCAACATGACACTGTTAATAATTTGATACTTTACAGCTGTTGATGTCTTTATTCAATCAAGAGCATATTATTCATTTGATTGCAAAAGTAGTAGAAGTTTATTTTTGTTCTTCAAGTGCTTCATTTTAATTTCTGTTTTTCTTATTTATAGGATAAAGCAGCTTGAACATTTTAAAGAACGAGCAAAACTGCTGAACAAAATGCAGAAAGATCCAGAAATGAATGATTTCTGGACAATGAGTGAATATGAAACATCTGTTATGAATGGTATTAAGTAAGATTTTTTTTTTTTTCATATATATATTTTGTCTTTCTATAAAAAATTTAACATAACTATCATGTCATTAAAAAATGACATGATAGTTATGTTAAATAAATGTCAGTATAAAAAAATGGTTTTAAAACAATCATGATTGGGGAACTGTTCTAAGTTCACATAATCTAAAAACTAAGTAGCAGTGACACAGTGATTCAAGCACTTACTTTAGAAGCAAGAATTCCAGGGTTCAAAGCAGGCACTGGGCCATTAATAATGAAAGGTGGCGTGGACTTCTTAATTAAGTGCTCTTCTGCTGTGCTCTGTGATAAGACTGTTAGGTCTTCTTGGTGCACCTCAAACAAAAAATTAATGAAAATAAAATAAAAAATGCAAGCTATAGAGGTATTAAATAGTTTTTTTTTTTTTTTTGCATTTTGTTCACATTTTATTATTCTTTTGGTTTAACTTTTGTCATGACCTAAGTTCTTTTCTTTTATTTTTTTTTTCCCATCAGTATGTACTAATAATTAGTTTATGCTTTAAGCCTTGTTTTAAATTGTTATGCTGCCCACAATTTACGTAAGCAAGCAGTTTTAGATAAGTTTACTACTTTGCGTTGTTGTTTTTTTTATTATTTAAATAAGTCAAATAATTTTTTTTAAATGATCTAATTAAATTTTTGAAAACCCCACAAATGTTTGAATAACTCCTACATTAAAAGTTTGTTAATTTGCTACATTAGTTTGAGTATTTGCTACAATAGTTTGACAGTACATTAGTTTGAGTATTTGCATTACATTACATTAGTTTGAGTATCTACATTAGTTTGACAGTACATAAGTTTGAATATTTGCATTACAGTACATTAGTTTGAGTATCTACATTAGTTTGAGTATTTGCTACAATAGTTTGACACAATTTGCTACAATAGTTTGAGTAATAATATACATTTAAAGTACTTGTTATTTACATAGTAAATAAGCTAAATTACACAAAAGAGAATATTTTTAAAAAAAGAAACAACTAAAAATTTAAAAGAAATCTTTACAAAAATAAAACTAAAGTTAAAAATAACATTAAATATTGATTTTTTTTTTTTCAAATACAATAAACCTAATTATTCATAAATATATTTTACTTTTAATTTAATTATGGTAAAAACGACAATAAATAAAACTTAACAATGAATTAATTTTTTTTATTATTTAATAAAATTATTATTATACTAGCAGTCATGATCTGTATGATACGGGTCGTAGTTAGTCTGACTATTTCAAAACTTATTCCTAATTTAGTCTTTATTCTTTAATTTATTTTAGTTAACAGCAAAAAATAAATCAATTTAAAGTGTTTGTAGTTGGTAAAATGCAAACCTTTTTGCAAACCTATTGCTAGTTATTAAATTATAATTAATTTAAAAGAAAACAGTCTAATTTATCTAAAATATATAAAATACCATTTAATTTAAAACTTTGATGAGCAAATGTTTTAAATATCATGTTGGTTGTGGTTATTGATGTCTTAGTTTGCTAAAAAGTCTTTAGCATATATATATAAGACAGTTGCGTGACATTTCTTCAGGTGTTTTTGGAAACTTAGGCTATGATTATAATTAGTGATGTATCGATATCACTTTTTTGGCTGATGTTGATACCGATGCCAATGAATGGGAAAAGGCCAATACTAATGCCGATAACGATGAATTTACTAATTATTAAAAATTTGAAAATATAAAACCATACAACTTTAAATCGGTACTGGTAAACAAATACTTGGACCCAAATCAAAGCCAAACAATTATTTTAAAGGATATTAGAAAAACTCAGTTAAAAAAATATACATTTTTATTTTTTTTCTAATATGAAAAGAAAACTTTCAAAAAAATAAATACAATTTTAGAGGATTTTATTATTTTCTTTTTTTTTTTTTTTTTTTTTTTTAATAAAAAAAAGAAAGAAAGTAATCCTATGCAGCAGGGGTGTCGTAAAAAAAAATAACGACTCAGACTCCAGTTGTTAAAATTTTTTGTGTACAACTCCGACTCTGACTCCAGTTTGTGAAATTTTTTGAGCATAACTCCGACTCCAACACCGACTTCTAAGCAAATTTTTTGAAAACTTCTTTAAATTCTTTAAAAAAAACTACGCGGTAAGTTGAAAATTTCTTTTTTGGCAAATTTGTGAAACGTTCTTTGAGATTTAGTATGAAAATAAGGTTAATTTAATGTTTCGTACATGCACGTGTAATACTGAGAAATTTTACAATTGGAGACGGAGTCGCGATTTTGTTTAGTGACTCCGACTCCGCTAAAAATGTCACAACATTGTAACTCCGACTCCGACTCCACAGCCCTGATATGCAGTTTACTTAGAATTTTTTATTAATTTATTAGTAATTTGGATATTTAAACAACAATCATATGTTGTTTAGACATATAAATTATTTTTAGATAAATAAATTGTTTTTAGAATTATTTTGTTTTGTGATTTTGATCCCCGCCATGTCTCTGTTAGTAAAGTGCTTAATTTTTTTCTACACGCAGCGGTATTTTTTATCAAGGTTTGTGTTTCTGAGTTATAAAGTTGAGAGTGGGTTGTAACCATAACTAAAATAGCCTCCTCAATTGAAGTGGCCTTCGTAGCCTTTGGGAGGTGGCTTGAAGTAAAAAAATTAAAAATATAGAAATATATTTGGTACTTGGCTATACTTAAATACTTCATGTATTTAAGTATAGGCTGAACTATTTGCGAAGAAATTTTCTTCTAATCCGACTCTCGAATCTTACGGCCATTCTCTTCCTTCCATTCTAATTAAATAAGCTAACCCATTGTCCATTGGTCCATAAATGTCACTTTTGAAGCAAAAATCATATCTTCACCAATTTTGAAGATAATAAGCTAAAATTTTTAGTGAATGTTTATTATACTCTAGCCAACAATAACTGTTATTGTAATGTTACTTTATATACCTCGGAAGGACACGCCAGTAACACAAAACCAAGGACAAATTGCAAAACTAATAATAAATATGTGACATGTATTTCATATTAATTTTCAACTTTCTATTGACTATAAACAGTCACCAGAATGTTTGATACATTGTTTGATTGAATAAGTATCATACCTGTGCAGAACACCAAGAACACATAGCATAATAAAACTTCCATTTAACTTATTTTAACAGAATTATGAATACCTTTTAACTAAATACTTTCTAGAGGACAAACTTCACATTTATAACATCTTGGTGGATTACAAAAACATGCAGAGTATCACACCAAGGACAACACCATGGACAAAGGACAAAAAGTAAGCACAACAACAATATATAAAGAATTAAAATAATTTCAAAGATTTATGGTTCATTTATGAAAATTTGTGTATAGAATAAATGCTCTAAAATAACACACCAAGGACACATGACATAACATGCAACATGCCTTTTGCATTTGTACCCATATCTAGATGTTAAAATTTATTGGCATAATACTAACAAAATATAGTATTATAATAGTTTGACTTCCTGGTCGATTAATAAACAAAATCAAGTACACATATTTTGTAAATACCTAGACATGAATAATCTGTGCATATGGTAGCACAGCAAGAACATACCACAACTTAAAAAGAACGTGTAATATTGGTTTTACACCAAGATCAGGCTTGGTCAGGAAGCAGGTGTGATCGCACTCGATAATTGACCACGGAAATATTATTTAGTTGCGAAAAACCGGCCAGATTTTTTAGTCGTTTTGAGAACATATCAAAAACAAACAAAAAAGCACAATAAGATTATCTGGACCGACGAGAGACAGTTAAAAAAGAATAATAGCTTTTAACGCGAAAAAATGCGAAGAGCAATTATTTTTGAAACATCAATCTTTTATAACTTTTTTTATAAAATAAAGCAATATTTTTTATATAAAGTAACAACTATAAAGAAACAAATGTTCTTCGATTTATCAAAGAGTATATTTAATTTTTATTTATATACTTATGTTTTATTTTCAGTGCTGGATTGAGTAGGTGGGGTGGGGGTAGTAGGGCTATAGCCCCGGGACTCACAATGTTAGGGGAAATAGTCAAGAAGATCATTCGGTATTTTTTAAGTCATTTTTACGCTGAAAAGTCGGTCAAGATTCAACGGCCCTGAAAAGTCCAACAAGATTCAACCAGATGATTTATTTATAAATAAAAAAGTTTTTTCAATAACTGTTTTATGCTTCGCGTAGTTTAAAAAGTTTAACTCATTTGAAACAATTCTTCTTAATAAGATAAACAAATGAAATAGTTAAAATCATTGAGTTACTGTAGAAATTCAATTAGCTAGATAGAAATTAACAAAAAATGTTAAATTACTTTGTGAGGAGGAAGCGGAACTGCTTCACAATACCGCTGATGATGTTTAGTGAGTGGGCTTCATAATTTTAATTAGTATTTAAAACAGAAAAAAGTAACTTTAAGTATAATGAGTTTGTAGAATAGCTGAAGTAAAAATAATTGAAGTTAGTAAACCAATTTCTAAGAACTTAAAAACTTTTCTTTCTTGGGAGAAAGAATCAGTTATCGGGTACACTGAGGAAAATGGATTAGTGGTTAAAATTATTTGTATTAACTTTGACGATTATTAATAATTTCATTGAAAACGCAGTTGTTATTGAAAGTACTTTTGTTTACAAAATCAATAGCACAAATTGCTTTAAAAAATTACATTTGAATAAAATACACATAGATGAAATTACATAGATAAAAATACATTACATACATAAAAATACATTACATACATAAAAAATATATCTCTTAAAAATAAAAAATAAGAATATACTAATAAAATCTAAAATATATTCACAAAACGTTAACAAGTTAAAAAATATAAATATAAAACATTTATTATTGTAAAGAAATAATATTAGTTTAAAACATTTATAGCTTTGTAGATGTGGCTCCAAGAATTAAAATAATAGTTCCTTTGATAGTATACTCTTAAAATAATTTATGCTAGAAATCTCAAGAAAAACGTAACAAAATTCAAATAATACAATTTGTTAAAATATTTCAACAGAATACTCAGGACATTTGGTTAGTTTTTTTTAATACTCTAGAAATTTCGGTTAGTATTTTTTGAACCAATAAAATTAGTTGTTCATAGATTTGGCGGGTTTTTTGTGTTCGCGAATATTCTTTTTTTATTTTTCCGCACTAAAATGTTTGAGAACATTTAAGTTTATGTATGTTTCCATTTAGTCCGTAAAACAAAATATTTTAAAATTTACGACAAAATGAACTTATTATTTTGCGTACAAATAAGGAAACATACATAAACTTAAATGTTCTCAAAACGACTAAAAAATCTGGCCGGTTTTTCGCAACTAAATATTATTTCCGTGGTCAGTTATCGAGTGCGATCGCACCCGCTTTCCGACCAAGCCTGCAAGATTATAAATAAAAATAATCATTCTTCAATATTTCTATATTAAATGTTTTTGTAATAAACTGAGCAATTTAAAAATATATAGTTATAAAGGGTTTGAGTTTTTAAAAAACAACAATGAAACATGTTTAAACATGTGTACATACTACTAGAAAAAAGGTACTATTTTAAAAATGCAGCTTTATAGATTTCTTAAAATAAAGTAAATATATTTAGGACACATGCTATAATAATTCAATTAGTTTGATATAAAGAATATAATATTATTTAGAAAGTTGCAAAAGAAGGTCTAAACATTCTGCTGGAAGTTCAAGTTCCTTTTTTGATTCAGAACTTTGCCTCATAGAAGTGATAAAGGGATTTGATGAGCAGTGCAATCTTCTCATTACATCTTCATTTGTTTTCTAGAAAATATTCTTGCAAAATGTTCTCGAAAATTTTTAACATCTTTATTTCTACTTTCCTAGGCTTCTTTAGATAAGAGGCCAATTGGAACTGGCTTGTCTCTTACAACCTGGTGTGAATGTACAATCATCTTGTGAACTCCAACAGGCAAAGGATACCATTTCAAATGTGCTACATATGTCTTAAATGTTTCTTTGCAATATAATTCTAATTTATCTTCATCTGATCAATTGCGTGTTTACAGGATAACACACAAAGGATAAAGAGAATTTTTTTAACAAGACCCTTATCAATTCCAAGTCTTCTTCTCTGTCCAATATGTAACAGACATTCAAAACAACGAATCCAGAGATGGAGAGTGTGGACTCCCAGGTCCAAAGACATCTGATTAGGTTGTTTATTAAAAGCAATTACAAAGTCATTCATTTTTTTAGGATTTAATCCACATATATTGCAAACTTGATAAGAATACACTCTAACTTGTTCTTGACTTGAAATAAGTCTATGGTTGCAATAAATAAGTCTATGGTTGCAATAAGCCCTGGTGCAATAAATGGCGCTTGTTATGCAGATATTCTTATAACTTTAACATTGCAAACTTAAAATGAATATAAAATCAAACTTTATATTTAATAGGCATTTTTTAAATGAATAAACAAATAGCTTGTGCAAAAACCAAAAGCTCTCATAAAATGTTGTTTAGAAAAGCAGCTTGCATGGCTCACCCTGTTTGTTTTAGGTGAACTTTTTCAGCTCTCGCACTCTTTTACTTCTGCATAGGCCTGCACCAACGTTAGCCAAATAGGTGAAGAAGGAGTTTGAGGCTGATTAGCTGAATTATTTTGTTTACCCCTTAAGTGTTTGCCTAGGAAGCCTTCTACAAGACAGTAGCTGGATGCAGTTAACATCTGCTTAAGAATAATATTTTTATCAAGACACCATCTATCATTTACTCAACCAAGAGCCCCAAGACAGGCGAATTTTAGCTGAATGCAGTTGACATCTGCCCAAGATGAGTTATTTAATCGAGAGGCTAACTCTAGCCTTAATTAAACCAAGAGCCCCAAGGCAGTGAATTTATTGATTTGGAGTTAGTTTCTCCTAACCTTTGTCTAAATAAGCAAACCTTACAAGACAGCATGGCATGAGGCAGGTAGTACTAAGTTGCATGTTACCAATAGTAGGGTGGTCATGGTAATCCTAAACCTGACCTGACATAAAGTCGTTAAAAGGTCTTACTTCCTGAACACACTACTTTAAAGCATTAGGCAAGATATTTTAGAAATGCAAAAGGAAAAACAATACATCTAACAATATACTAGAGATTAAGTTAAGGTTTTATTATAGTTAGAGTCACTAGTTAGTTACTTAGCTCACACTTCATCAGTTCATCAGAGATTTACACAGAACATAAACATACATCAAGTAACTCATGGGTGAGTAAACACCATGCCAGAGGTTCAGACAGAACACAAACAGACTTATATAAAGTAGATTAAAAAGATTAAAAGACAATGTTTCAAGCTGGCAAATCTTCACACAAGGTTACTAGGTCTTTGTGTACAATTCTTTCATTAAAACACCTTAAGAATCACTAGAGCTACATCAAATAAAAAAATATTATCAAACAAAATATGAAGGATCTCATTTATATCTGTACAATTTATTTTAACACTTTTTGAGCCATCTATAAATAGAATTAAAAAATGGTTTGAGGTATCAATTTGAGACATTATTCATGTTTCAGATGTATATTTAAAGTTTTTTTTAATCCCTATAGGATTCACTCATCATTTAGGAACAGGTTTTGTAGCCATATTGGGAGTGAATCAGAATTAATAAAAAAATTGCAGATAAAAAAATTGATAATCATAATATAAAAGGAAATAGCAATATTTTTTTTTTTTTTTACTTTTTTGGTCATCAATTTTCTTTTATAGAAAAAGTGCACATCTGACTCAACTGCTGTTGCGCATTTTGTTAACATTCTAATTCCTTAACTTTCATCTGTTAGATGTTTTCTGGCGCAATGCATAGATACAAGATTTTTAAATAGAGATCTTGCCCCCGTGCTCAACTAGCACCACTAAACCTTACTGCTTTATAAGAATAATTTGTTTTATAATAAACTAAAATCAAAAAAAATTGTTTTTTTATCTGACAATATGTCCAGCATATCTAGTTAGATTTAAGTATTTAAATCTAGTGTATCAGTACTAAACAGGTTATATGAAATACTCATTCTAGTACAATAACAATATTGTTTCTTTTTTTCTAGTATTTTTCTTAATTTTTTTTTTTTTTTTTACTAGACAGTTAGATATTATTTACAACAATTCCAAAAACAGTATGAGTGATAAAAGTTCAGTAGATATAAATGACAGTAATAACATTTGGAAAAAAAAGTTTTGGATTGGAATGAAAGATAAATTTTTCGGTTGGATTGATAATGCTGAACCAACTCAATTTGGTAATTAAATGGTTTTATAAGTTTATATTTTTATAAATTTATAAACTTTTTTTTGAATTTTTTTTTTTTTTTTTTTTTTTTTGCTTTATTGCACAGTATAATTATTTTTTTAGTTATTTTTTATTAAATTGCATTTTAAGAAGCTTTTAACTTGTTATTAAGTTCTTAATTAACTTGCATTTTAAGAAGCTGCATTTAAGCCTTATATTAAACCTTTTGTTAGGGTAAAACCACCTATTTGTGGCCCAACCAAATCCTAACCATTTTTCAAAAAAGTTTTTTGCTTTATATATTAAATTAGCGACTTTCCATGTTTTTAAAAAAAAAATGTATTTAAGCTTTTATATGTTGAATTTATTTGTTACGAAAGATCAATTGCATTTTTTATTTTATCTGAGATTGAACATTTGGTGTAATTTTAATAATATTTGGCTGATATTCTAACCATAAAAACTGAAATTTGAAAAACAGTCTCACTTATTTTTCTTGCTTTATAAAAATCAAGATTTCCTAAATTTTAACTACAAGTAATTTTTTATTCTAGTCTTAGATCATTAAAAACTATTGATGCAGCTTCTTAAAAAGTTGTTGACGCCAATCTTTTTGTGCATGACGTCACTTTGTGGCAAAAACACATATAGTGTAGGATTTAAGTTTAAACTAGGATTTTATGTTTCAAAATGTTTAGGAAATTTTTTCCATTAAATAAAAAATATTGAAAATACATAGAGTACTTTCAGTTAAAGACTAAAAACATTTAGTATTGCTACGTTTCTTTTTAAAGTTTTTATACTTTAATTTAAAACACTTGATTTGAATAGACAGTAAAAATATAAAATAGTTTAATTTATTCATATTTATTGACCACAAAAAAAAATAATTTTACTTAATTTACTTAAAAGTTTTTTCTAATCTTTATTCAAATTCTCTCCTTGGTGGTATAATCTAAGGTTACAATAATAAAATCTAAACATTTTGACTAAATTAACCAAATAATTAGATTGAAAATCATTATCAAACATATGTTCTATGGTATCAATAAAAATTGAATACTGATTAAATAATTAGCAACACTGATTAAAATATAAATAATTAACTTTGTCATTAAAATATATATGTGAATAACATCTTTGGAGGGTTGAACCGAGCATAGTTTAATATCACTGTAATTTTTTTTTTTAATTAATGTTGAAGTTGGGATTTGTGATTGAATTAAGGTTAAGCAAGTGTCACAATCTAAAACTCTTGTAATTTTTTTTTACAACAAATCCAGCAATATGTTCTTCAACATCACTCACATACAATATGTTCTTCAACATCACTCACATACTCAATGAATGACTTCTTGAATAACTTAAACTATTTACAGCATACTTATGGTCATCACAATTTTTTTTTTCTTTATCAAATCTTCAATAAGCTGATGATCAATTTTTTTCATTTTAATAGTTTTTGAAAAACTAATTGCTAAATTTATTGGTGGTGCCTGTTCAATACAATTGGTTTGAGAAGAACCTAAAAAACTTGTAAACAACAGTTTTTTGTAGGCAGCTTGAAACTGTTTTGCTGTGGGATTATTATTATATCCTCCATGGCTCCTTATAGCACTGAAAAAAACCTCCAAATATTATTGAGTTTATAAGCTGAAATATACCTAAGACTATAATCACCGTTTTGAGCATAATAATTCAATATTCCCATATATGATTTTAGTCTTACAATCATCCCAATAAAACCTGTTTTACTCTGACTTGAATGCAGAGTTTCTTCATTTTTAGGACATTTAAGTGTTATTAGTTTGAAAATAGTGTTATTAAATACTCTATTGACTCTTTAATTTTTTTTTTGTAAACTAGATTTGAAACCCGTTAAAAATCCAAGGGTCTTGGGAGACCCCTTTAAATATTTTTTATTTAAGAAAATATTAAACCTAGTGTTATTTTATTATTTTTCACACATTTAGAGGTTGTGCCTAGTTTTTTGAAAAAAAAAAGTTGAAAAAAAAAACCACCCTAATATATATATATATATATATATATATATATATATATATATATATATATATATATATATATATATATATATATATATATTATATATATATATATATATATTATATATATTATATATATATATTATATATATATATATATATATATATATATATATATATATATATATATATATATATATATATATATATATATATATTATTTTATAAACATCAATAAATACGATTTTCTCTTGATACTTAATTAATTTTTTTTAAAGAATTTTTCGCTGGATTGTTGTGACCAGCATCTTCAGCTTAAAGGTTTTTTGTTTGTTTTTGTATATATGTTATTTTTTAATAAACGGCAGTTCTATTTTATGACAATTGAATGGTTTCTCCATTTTCTGACGTAAGTGCGCTAAAAATGGTGTCCAAAATTTTGTTGACACATATTGTCCTTCATCTAAATTGATACCATTTTGTTGAGGGGCACATTGGTGGTACTGTATTTCAAGTGCCTAACGAGCTTTTCTATCAAACTTTTTAGCATCAACTTTTACAGTTTTTCAACTGTCCCAGTTAATTTGTTGTGTACAATGTCCCATGTGTGTGGCTCATGCAGATCGTTCTGTTTTATTTCCTATTTTACTGTTTTTGTGTTGTTGCATGCGTGTTCTTATTTGCATTTTTGTTTCACCTATATACTTTTTACTACAATGACATTTAATAAGGTAGACTCCTGGTTGACTGTTCGTTTGTAGTTTGGATTTATTTCTTGATGTTAATATTGCCTCTAGGTTTAAGTTTGATTTGAAGATCGTTTTATATCCTGCCTTCATAAACACTTTATGCAATTTGGGAGACAATTTTGGTACCCAAGGTAATGAAATCTTTGTATACATACTGGTGATGTTGTCATTGTTTTTCGTAGTCACTAGAGATTTTTTGTACTTTCGTTTTATTTCTTTTATGATTTTTATGAGATTGGACTGTTTGTAGCCATTTTCGGCAAATACTTGAATAAGGTGACTCTGCAGGCATTAAGGCCCACAACTTTTGTCTTTCTCAATCCCTAACTCAAATAGTCAACTTTCCAACTTGCTTTCCAGACAACCCGAATCATTTACCTTCTCTACTCGACTTATGTCTTGTTTCTGATCCTAGTCAGTGTTCAGTTTCTTCACACTCACCCTTAGGTGCGTCTGACCATGGTTTGGTCTCTTTAAAACTATTATCTCATTCTTCTTTACCATTAGAATCCCCCTATCATCGTACATCTTACAACTACCTTAAAGCTGACTGGGACTCTTTTCGTGACTTTCTTCGTGATGGCCCCTGGGTAGAAATCTTTTGTCTCCTTGTTGACAAATGTGCTTCTTACATAACTTCGTGGATTCAGGCTGGCATGGAATCCTTTATTCCCTCTCGACGATTCCAGGTCAAGCCTCACTCTTCTCCATGGTTTTCTTCACATTGTGCTGCTGCAATTGCCAATCGAAACCATTACTTCCATATCTATCAGCAAAACAATTCTCCAGAAAACAGACGTCTCTTTTTTTACTGCTAGGAACCATTGTAAAAAGGTTTTGTCTAACGCCAAAACCCGCTATTCTCAGATCATGAAATCTCGTATTTCATCACAAAAATTAGGCTCTCGTGACTTCTGGAGAATCTTTAATAGTATCAATAATAAGGGCAAGTCTGTAATTCCACCTCTTTTGTACGGTTCAGACTTTGTCACCTCACCTAAAGACAAAGCTGAATTGTTTGCCAAGAACTTTTCATCAATATCATCTCTTGATGCATACCTGACAACATACCTGTTATAGTCTTGCAGAAGTGTTCTCCTGAGCTGTCGTCTATCTTTTCAAAACTATTCAACAAGTGGTTATCAGAGTCTTGTTTTCCAGCCTGCTGGAAAGCAGCATCTGTTATCCCTATTTTTAAAAATTCTGGAGAGCGATCTGACTCATCTAACTACCGTCCCATTAGTCTTCTTCCTATCATAAGCAAGGTTTTTGAATCTTTAATTAACAAACACTTAGTCTCTCATCTCGAATCTCATAACCTACTTTCTGATCATCAGTATGGATTTCGATCTTCTCGTTCTACGGCTGATTTGCTATCAGTAATAACCGATAGGTTTTATTGCGCATTAGATAAAGGTGGAGAGGTTAAGGCCATTGCTCTTGATATTTCTAAAGCGTTTGATAAAGTTTGGCATACTGGTCTCCTCCATAAGCTTTCTTCTTATAGTGTATCTGGAAACGACTTTAGGATTATTGAATCCTTCCTTTCCAATCGTAGTATAAAAGTTGTCCTTGATGGACAGCACTCTTCTTATTATTCTGTAACCTCAGGGGTTCCCCAAGGTTCAATCCTTGGCCCTATACTCTTTTTAATTTACATTAACGATCTTCCAGATATTCTCACATCTAAGGTGGCATTGTTCGCTGATGATACTACCATTTATTCTTGTCACGATAAGAAGCCAACTCCCTCTGATTGCTTGCAGGGGGCATCTGAGCTCGAAAAGGATCTCACTTTTGCTACAGCATGGGGCTCGCAGTGGCTGGTGAACTTTAATTCAGATAAAACTCAATTTTTTTCGGCCAATCGTTATCGCAATAATTTAGACCTTCCTATATTTATGAACGGTAATGTACTCGATGAGTCTCCTACCCTTCATCTTCTAGGATTAAATTTGTGAATCATGGTTTGATGTTGCCTTAACTTGAATGTTAGTAATTGCATTTTTTCTTAGAATTTTAAATTCATATTTACCATTTTTATTATTTATTATGCATATGTCTAGAAAATTTAGTGTTTTTTTGTCATTTTCAAATTCGATGGTATATTGTATTTTTGGATGCTGTTTATTAAGTATTGTCTTAAATTGATCAGCCTGGACAATGTTAGGAACTTTAGCATGACTGTCATCTACTATCTATAAAATGACTTTATATCAATAAGCGGGTTAGTTTTCAGCGTTGTATTAAGTGCTTTA